CGAACGGGAAAATAACCGGATAAAGAGCAGCCCAGCGCTGCCGCATCGGGCAAGTTTGGGTTGGTTTGGGGTTACCAAGAGAAGTCCTTGCCCAGGGGCCTCTGGTAGGTGCGTTAAACCGGACCACCAGGCTTCAGGGAGTGAGGACACTGGGTAACAGTGTCCTCAAGCCCGCTCCATGTCCTCTGGCTAATGTATGCAGCAGTGAGTTTAGGGGATCTCAGGAGAATGAATTGTCAGAGCATCGGAAGCAAGCGATGGCAGGGGAATTACTGCTAATCCTTCTTGCAGACCAAAATACTCCAAAGGATTTAAAGACTGTTTAAAAAACGTGGAAAAAAAAAAGGACATCCCTCCCTTCTTTCATACATTTTGGTTTGGTCACTGGCTGCTGGCTGGGAGCTGAAAGAGAGAAAAGAGAAACTCTGAGGAGAGGGAAAGGAGGAGAGAGGGGAAGAAGAAAAGATAAAGACTGGAGATTAGATCTGGAGAAAAGCCTATCTTACCCTCTCTGGGAGTGTAGGCTGCAATTAAATCTCTTTTGCCTAACAATACCCCGCTGTTATTTGCACAGTACTCAAGATGTGGGATAAGGGAGGAAGGAGCTGCAGGCAGGGGAGGCTGCAGCTGCTCTCTTATCGCTGCATTGCCAGCAGGGTTGGGGATCCTCTGGCTGGGGGATGTGGGCCCGAGCCCTGGCCGAGAGGGTGATCCTTGCTTCAGCCCCACCACCAGTAATGAATGGGTTTTGAGCAGCTCTGGCGGGAGGATTTTGGAAGCGTGGGGGATGTATACCCTCTCCCTGCCACACATCAGATTTGTAGAGGTGGTTGAGACTTTACTGTCACCTGCAGAACAAGGCTGATACCTGTGTGATGCTCATTTCCATCCCTCCCACACCAACCCAGGTCTTACACCAATACCCGCTCTGGAGCGTGGGCCAGGGGGGTACTGCAAGGACGGAAGACCTATTAATACCATTGCTAAAGCTGAAGTGGCCCAAGGATGTAATTTGGGCAGCTGGTAAATACAGGCATGCTTTCAGGTGCAGACATTTCACTGGCTAGAAGGGGAGGCTGGGGGCAAGCAATGCAAGGGAATGTTAAGGGAAGTGCCTCATGCTTCTCTGATAGGGCATCCAGTGACTTTTTGCAGACTGAGGTCACGGAGAGCATTGCAGAATGGAGTGAAGGCTCCCCTAATGAACACATAAAGGCACATACATAACAGACTTCAAGGCCAGAATTTCATCTCTATTTAAATGTATTTAAATGGTGATTGAGTCCCTCTCCTCCGTGTGGGTAGGAACAGGACTAATGCAGGCAGCGAATGCTAGCCCAGCCTGAGCTAGCCTCTGGGAACTGCCCATGCTGGGAAGACATGGAGAGGAACCTGCAAAGCACCGTTTTCATTCAGGATGCCTCAGGATGATGTTTCGAGAGGGTGAGCCAGGCTCTCCCAGCAAGGAAGCACCAGGGTAAAAACCTCACAGGTCCCAAGTCTGGGCTCTTCCCAGTGGGATTTGCTGAACAGAGCAGAATTACCTCCCTCTTCTCAGGAGTGATGGAAACCACACCACTGCTGCCTTCGCTGCTCTCTGAAGAGGCACTGGTATGCAAAAACCTGATTTAAAAGCATCTTCTCAGAGGTTACCAATTTCAACATTTTCTTATCACCATTATGCAAACAGGTAACACAGACTTATCACAAAACTCCTTCCTTCTAGGTGCTTTAGGCTGTCAGCGCAGGAAACCCTGGGACCAAGCCATCTCCAGCTGAGATTCAACGCAGCTGCTAAACTGTGGCCACCTTCCCTGAGATCCTGCACCAATCTCTTTCCTATTCTTTTTATTCCTTTTTCTTTATTTCCAAGGCTTTTAACAGAGCTGTCCTCGATTATGCAATGTTTCTATCTCTGTGCTCGTAGCAGCGGAGGGAGGTCCAGGCTGGAGGATCATTGACTTTGCCCTCTACGTGACCTTGACACTGAGGAAGGTTAGCGCTGCTGGCAGATGGGCTCCTCTTCTGCAAACCATGCCTTGCTGTCATTTGCCCCAATTCTCAGCCTGAGCCGTGATGGCAAAGAAGAACTTTTTAAGGAATCGCTTCTGTTTTAGCATGTCCAACTGCTCTCAGGCAGTTCACACCTACTCAAGAGGTTTTGCAGAAGGCACTTCTTAGTGAAATTCATTCTGGAGATTCTTCAGTGGTTTCTACTGCCCGAACTACAGGTGTGATACAGCCAGGTGAAGGTTTAACTGTCAGGGGTTCAGGGTAAGAGCTGTCATGGAAGTGGGATTTCCATTTTGTCAAAAGTTCTGCTTTTCGGTACAGTACAAAAATGAAAAATTACAAGTTTTCCCACAAAACAAAATTTATGTTTTTTAATTTGGGTGGGTGGAAACATTTTTACATTTTGGTTTTCTTTTGGGAGGCTAGTTGGCTTATATAAATAGAAAGAAATTGCAAAATGAAAAGGTACTCTGAGAAGCAACAGCATAAACCTAAACCGACTTTGTTTCAAAATGATGTTGTGGAGCAATTTAACTTTTATTTGAAATCCCTTTTTTGAACCCCTCCAAAACATTGCAAAAATCACTGTTTCCATGCAAAGTGTCTATTCCAAGATTACAACCCCATCCAATACCAAACCAGAAACCCTGCTATGACAATTTCTGTTCCATAGACAGACTATGCTACCTCATTAAATTACACAAACCACCTACAAAATAGCATTTCCCCATGGACAAACACTCTTCCAGAAAAGTTTCAATGTGTTCTTGTCAAGTATGGATCGGTCCAGAGAAACCAGCTGATTTTTCTTGTTTGGTTGATTTTTTAACTGGCACTGGAAGTCTGTGCTAATACTCGGGGAGGCCAAGGGAGCATTCAGGCAGTGCTGTTCCTGCAGCCAGCCTGACCTAGGCGGGCAGCAATGCAAATGGCTCTGGTTTTCAGCTTTTCCATAATGTCTCTGCTACAGTGTGGAGACCACGAACGCAATCATGCTAATGAGGGCTTGCTCCGTTCAGAGCCCTCCCTGCAAACCACATCTTGGCAACGATGCCAGCACATCACAATGGGCTGCCTCTGAGACATCACTCTCTGCAGTGCACGTAAGACCAGAGCTTCATCTGTACTGGCATTTTGCATGGGTCAAATTAAGCACATAGTGAAATCAGGGCACATCCCCACTACAAATGAAAAGAAATAGCTTGGATGCAACAGCCCTTTGGAGCTTCATCTCCATCTGCTTCTATGACCTGGGTAAACCAGATGCTTTAATATCCGGAACATGTTCAGCTATTTACATGAGAGATGAATGCAGACTTGCACGGATGTTTGGTTGGCTGCTCATTTATTCACCCAAACGAATAAATAATATCAAAGCTACCTGCTGCACAGCGAACGCTTTCAAACAATAACGCATGCCAACGTGCTTGGAGACATGAGAACATTCAGCGTTCTCCTTTGGAAATTCGCTTCCTATAATGCAGGCAAATAGTTGTGTGTGTTTCTGTTCGAACCACAATATTTTGCCCATTTAAAGTATTGGGGAAAGTTGTTCTGAGTCTTCCAAAAACAAATCTACTTTTTCTCTACTGGGTTAATGGTGAAAATATAATTTTTTCACACAGGCTTTTCCCTCCTAGACTCATAAACCACAAAGTATGGAAGATGGGCACAGCCAGGGCAGGTTAATGACCCTCGGGGAGGGCTGGGAGCTGCTCACCCAGCAGAGCCTGTGGCTGCATGGATGGACATTTACAGCACATGGCTGCATCTGACACCCAGGTCCCATAAAGGGGTGTTTGTGTCACCAGCCAGCCTGTCCTCCTGAGCCTCATTGTGCCACGCAGCAAAAAAAAAAATAAAATCCCGGTTTTGTTGCTGAAGGTTTCAACAATAAAAGAAATCAGCGTGTGTCTTCAAAGCACCAACTGATGCTGAGGCCAAGTGACATCTCTAATGCATGGAGGGAAGCGGGAGCGATAGTGGGGCTTGCAGAGGATGAACCTCTTCGAAACTCCCCAGCCTCCGGTCTCCGTCTCACTGCACCGCCTTGCTCCCCTCACCCATTCCAGAAGCTACGATGGGTTTTGTGCTTTCTCTTGGGCAGTAAGAAAGCCCGGGGCAACTCACATATCCATCTCTGCAGTGGAGACTCTGAATAGGAAGAGAAGAACAAGTGACTGGTTTCTTCTTAAATTGTATGGGTGGGAGCCTCCTCTCAGCATCACCCCAGCTCTCCTCCTAAAGTTGCTTTGATATTCAACAAACACTTGCTTTTTAAACAATGCTGGACTAAACCCTTATTATAATGCCCAGAACCACTTGCAGGCTTTCTGAAACTCATTATTATAATTACAATCAAGAATCATAGGACGCTCTGCTTTGTGCCAGAACTACAGAGAGAGAGAGAGAAAGAGCGAGGGAGAAATGCCGCTTCAGTGCTGCTCAATTCAGGAGCAGGAACTCCCACCCCATTTAATTTTTCCTCTTTTGTTTTCCAATTTAACTCATGGCTGCTGAAATCTGGGCTAATATTTGTTTTGTTCTATGTGTTCTTTTTTAGCCTCAATCCAGGGAACCTCGGGCTGTGCCTGGTTTCCTGCACCCCCCCAGCCCCAGCAGCCTCTGCCCCGGGGTGTGCAGACGGGTCTGCTGGCAAGGGGCAGCGCTTTGGGCCCATCCATCAGGGCAGAGCTGAGGACCAACCACGCTTTGGAAATGGCTGCAATGGTGCTTAGCAGATGCAAAACGAACTTGTTGGGCAAGTGAGCACAGCATCGAGCTTACTTTTATTAAAGCTTCATCTCATGGGTCACAAAAAACCTTAGGGAGAGGGCTGTAGGGTTTTTTGGTAGTGTTATCCCAATATACCACTGCCACAGCACAGAGAGAAGGAACCGTGATTCAGCTTTTGCCAGCACAAGCCCTGGAACAAGCTCTCCCTCTTTGGCAAATAGTGTCTGATGCTGAGCTCGCTTATCGCTGGCTTCCACGGAGATGTCACTGACTGGTGCTTAGAAAAGTGAGAAGGATCAGGCCCTTTCTTCTGAATAAATATCAGATCTGATTCACCACTCAATTGCTTCTGTTTTATCTCCGTCGAACGTCATTGATTATAGAAGGATTTGCAAGTTTAAAACTAGACTAATTCAGTGATTAATCCCAAGCAAAGCCTTCTGTAAATAGAGAGCAATACTCCAGCAGTGTTCAATATTCGTCACATCAATGGAGTGCTCTGTAATATGATTCAGTGGCATTTAGACTTTACTTCCCTTTACTCAGGGCAGTGCTGGGATACATTTAGTTTAGCTAACCCAGACTTTTCTCCTCTATCTCTTCTCCTTGCAAAATGTCAGGCACATTCTCAGTGAAACAAAGGCAAAACTCTCCCGTCCAGCGACTGCCCTGTTCAGTGTCACAGCCAAACCCTTGGAAAGGCTGGACCGCACATGCCGAGATGCCCACCAGGAACAGAGGCTGCCACAGCATGACGGGGGGAAGGAAGGGGGACTCTCAGCCTCGTTGTTTGGTGCCCACATATCTAAAGCCCATTTCAAGCCATGGGCTGACGGCTCCTACAGTGCCTTCCAACAGTGAATTAAGGCTGGTCCAGAGAGTGGAAAAGCTTATTCTAGAACTGTCTGGCTGTAAACATCAAAACACTTTGCTCAGGCTCAGGCTTGCTCATATAGGGCAGCCCCACACAGTATATCCAGAAGCAGTTGGAGCAAAGAAATACTTTGATTTTAATCAAGCATTTCTGCAGCTTCTTTTGGTCCCACCAATCTTTGGATACCACAGGAAAACCTCAAACCACTCTCTCAAATGCTATCTAATCTGAATACAAATAAGAGTTCCAGGTGACGGAAATATTTGGGAGTTTCAGTGCTTGGTCTAAAAAAACCTGAAATAAACATGTCGGGGAAATTTCCCGCCAACGGCAACCTCCCCCCCACTGATGACGTAGCTGCTCCGCTTCACCGAGTAGCTGCCAGATGGTCCACAGCGTAGGGCACCCCATTTCCCTCTGAAGGGTTTTTCCCCTGAGTCACGGTGCCTAAGGAGGTGGACCCAAGACTTCCAGAATCCCAATCTTGATTTTGTTTCCCACGATTTTTACAGCCAAGAATCCTGTACCTTTGCTCTCCCCTGGAGATCCTGGGGTCCAGTCAAAGCAACAGACCCTAAAGTTCAACTGGGTAAATGGCCCCAGGACCAAAATCCAGTTTCAGAGGCAGACAAATGATGGTAAGAGCAGTCCATCCATTCACCAACCCACCAGACCTGCGTGGATTGCTGGACCAGCTTTGATTGACAGCTACAAACATGGAGCTCAGGCATGTGCAGCTCTTCTAGCTGTTGTCACTCCTTAGCTTGCAGGTTTCCTTGAGAAAGGGTGACCAGCAAGGCAGGTATTTCTGTAGTGCTTTTACAGTGCCTCCATCCACTTCCTCCAACACTGAACAGCCACAGAAGAACCAACTTCTGAGCACCAGCCATCAGCCAAGGCCAGCATGAGAGACAGGACAGGTGGTCTCTCTTTCTTTCACATGAGCTTTACCTCCTCGTGATTCCATCTTTTGCCTTCTAGCAGGACTCCTGTCAGCTGCCTCCAGAAGATGTGCCTGCTTATTTCCTTGTTTTTCCACTCCAGATAGGTGTTCCTCCTCACATAGCGGGACAGTCCCAGCCTCTGCCTCAGCAAGGCCTTATTCACTTCTTCTAGTACAATCATGATGATTCCAGCCTTTCCTTCAACAAGCTGCCAGGATTGGGCAATGTCAAACTCAAAGCTACACCACTTGCTCTCCAGAAAGTCAGTAGAGATAACTGCAATGACATTTCTGCTACTCAGAAAACCTTCTTGGATGATATTGGTGACAATGGGTACCCCTGGAAGGAAATCCCTGTAGTAAAGACAAAGCTGGAAGGGAGGCGTTCCTCCTTCTAAGGGTTCCACCAGCTCTTTGATCACCCATTCTTGGTCTTTGCTGGAGTGGATAACAAATGCATCATAGGTGTCACCCCTTTCAGCAGAGTGTTTACACCCACTGAGCAGCACCAAGAAGTAGTATAGCTGGAAGTAGTACCTGTAAATCAGGAAGAAGAACACCACTGCAGCAAGCAACATGATCACTGAGCATGCCACTGTGCTTGCACTGACTTGGCAGGAGGACAGATCAAAACTTGTCAGACTCACGTTCTTCATGTATGCAGGCGTGTGGCATATCATCAGCTCCTTGTTCTGCAGTAGCTCCTGCTTTTCCTTGACCCATTTCAGAAAGTTCAGGTAGCCACAGGAGCATTCAAACAGGTTTTGAGAGATGTCTAACAGGACCAGACTGTCAGGCAGAATTTCCAGGGCTGAGTCCAACAGAACACTCAGCTGGTTGTTGCTGAAATCCAGGGCTGTGAGGGCTTGGAGAGGCTTGTAGACTACAGGATCAAAGGTCAGTAGCTTATTGTTGCTGATGTTTAGCTCCTTTAGTTCAGAGAGGGCATCGAATGTACTTTGATCCACATGTACTAATCTGCAACTTGAAATATCCAAGGTGTGGAGGTGACTTAGGTTTTTTAAGTTGTTGGCCAATTTATTGTTCTCAAAGGAGTTGCCTGCCATCTTGAGCACTTGCAAAGAGTTCAAGCCACAAAATGTGCACTGGGATTTAACATGAATGCTGGTATGGGAAATATCGAGGTAAATGAGTTTATGAAGGGTTAGAAAGACAGGGTAGGAGCCAGGACCAGATAACTTTGTGTGCTGAAGGTCCAAATATAACAAATTCTTCACATTAGTGAAATCTCCTGTCAAACTGATGTCAGAATTGAAGCTTAGGTTCAGGAGTTTCAAGTTTGGACAATTGTGAAACCAAGGGGAACAGCAGCCACTGAAGGAGAGGCGATTCTCACTCAAATCTATCACCTCCAGTTTACTTAGACTCTCAAATTTCTGCCGGAAGCTATTGAGGTGTTTGCTCTTGGTTATACGAAGCACTCTCAGCTCCTTGAAAAGAGACAGCTTTGCAGCAGGCACTTCCTTAAACTTGCATTTCTTGCATTCCAGCTGTTTCACTTGAGAGAACAGAGGAACCTCTGACACCTCTTCAAGTTGGAGGTCCACCAACCGAATACTGGAGACGTTGCCTATGCAGTTAAAAAGAGTGTCTGTGTTATTCTCAAATTCCCTGAAACAGATTAAGACAAACTCTTGCATTTTTACCTGACACAGTCCACTTAGGAGTCCGCTCTGAAAGTCTACCAGTCTCTGATTGTCACTGAATTCTCCAACTATTAGTCTGCTGACCTGTAAACCAGTCAGGCCTTGAAGAGAAGACTGCATCACACTGAAGTTCTCAAAAGAGGACCTTAGAACCAGCTCACCAAGGTGTATCTTTGCAAAGGACCCTGGCTCTATGTATTTTATATAATTCAAGGAAAGCACCAGTGTGAGGTTGAGCCTGTCTGCTTCCCTCAGGGCATCAAGGTCTCCTTTGGCGATGTATGTGATTTTATTGGAGAGAAAGCTCAGGTGCCTGAGAGAGGTCAGGTTGGTGAAATACTTGGGAAGCTTCAACGAAGCAATGCTGTTGTGGCCCAAATTCAGCTCCTGCAGGGTATGCAAGTGTCCAATGGGTAGTTCAGTCACAGAGGTTATGCTGGTTTCCACCAGTACTAGTTTTTTCAGAGATGTTAAACCATAGAAGGCTGCTGTCCCCAGGTACTGAAGGGAATTGGCAGTTAAAATTAACGTGGAAAGTTTAGGAAGATCCTTAAAAGAGTTATCTTCTATTGTATGGAGTTGGCACCTGTTGGGCAGGAAAAGAGAATAAATGTGCATGAAACACTGTCCCTTTCATTACTTGTCCACTAACGCTGCTACACTAAGCCTTGGTGCAACATTCCCAGGCTCAGCCTCACGCTGGTCATGGGTTTGGCTTTACTTGTCCTGGGCAGAGCCAGAACTCCTGAGGGTCAAAAATTCATGCAGGCAGCAGGAAAGCAGCATTTTAGGTTTCTGTTTAGGCCAAAGTAACATCATAAATGACCATCATTGATGGCAGAGCCAACCAGACACAGCACTCCCTTATACCTTGCACCCTCACAGCCTTCAGACTGATGCAGCAGGGACAAAGCTCACAACACTGGCAGCAGTTTTGCTGATGATATCTGAGAGGGAACAAACCCCAGCCCCTGATGGCTCTAAAGGAGAAAATTGGGAAAAAGAGGGTGGCCACCTAATGATGGTTTCACACAGGAAGATCCAAAATTTGAGACCCAAATCCATTCCACAAAGAATTAATGCAAAATTAGCTTATGATCCAGCCAGTGCCTTACAGCAAACCTGCTCTGCCGCTCAGCCACTTTGGAGCTGTAACTGTGATGGGACTGAGTGACATTTTTCAGTGAAACAATTTACCCAGAGAAACTGTTGTCTCAAGTCGATGGAAATTATACATCAATTCAAATTTGCTAATAAGCCTCCCCCATCTCCTCCCCCAGATATGTGAGGAGAAGGGAAAAGAGAATATGTTGATATTTTAAAACAGCCTTTTAGAAAATGAATGTACCTTCACTTTATTTTTTTTAAACCGTGATTAGAAAAACAGCTCACCCAAGATGTTCCACTTCAGAGTTTTTGTAACAGTGAAAAGTCTGACATTTTTCTTGTTCAGAAAGAAGTAAAACATCTTCCTCCTCCTTCTCACATCCCAACCTACGAGATCAGACTGACAGAGCCAGCTCTGCGCAGAGGGTGTGCACTCAGTAACTGGACTAAAAGCTGCACATCACTTGACCATGGGGATGCGCAGAGAGACAGAGACAGGGATAAAGTCACAAGAGAAAAAAAAATGAACAGCCAAGACCAACAGAACCCAAAATAAGCAACCACATTGGCCCAACTGGTGAAGCAAGTTTAACCAGTATCCACATAAAAGAGCTCATTACCTTGTAAGATCCAGAAGCTGCAATTCAGGGACTGATGAAAAATAATTTGACCCCAGTGATATCAGGTTGCTGAAACTAAGATCCAAGTTCAGGGTGGTTTAACTCCAGAGACATTCAGTCCCATGCATCTGAAAGTGGTGTTAGGGACGACCTGTAATGGCGGCAAATGCAATCATGGTCAACATCTGCTCTTCATCAAGTGCCAGAAAACTACATTGTCAAGAGAGCAGGAGCAGAATGACTGACCTGGCAGTTAATTTCTAAATGAGCTGCCCTGAGTTTTAGGAAATAATCTTATATATCCTAAGCATCTTTCCCACTTCTAATAGAACCAGTCCTACTCCCCAGGAAGAGCTGCATTTCTTGCTGATTGAAGCAGGTGCAAAACTACAGGACAGTGTTCCCTGAGGCTATGGATGAACCGACAGCAACCTCTGAGAGAGCCAGCAAAGGCAGGGATGCATCGTGTGTCCAGGATCAGCACTCAGCTTTGTTACACTGCAGATAAAAAGGCAGTTCTAACAACAGTAATTCTGTAAGAAATAATTGTCAGAAAAAGTCTGCAAAAGGCAGTTGATGAGTGCCAGAAACTTGGGGTACTGGTGAAATCACTCTACAGTACAAATCAGGTGAAAATACTGTATTTTGCAGAAATGATGGACTTGGCTTGGATCTTTTCCTGAAGGGAAACATAATCTGTTAGATTAACTGTACTGCAGTAACCTCAGAGGTACAGAACACCAACAAGAAGGAATGGTTCATGCTGCTGGTTCTGGTTCTCAGATGTTTTTGAGACCAGTGTCTACTTCAAACACTTCAATTGCCTTGGTAACAGCCTTGGAAAAAAGATGGGCTTTCATAAAACAACTAACACACAACAGACTCGATGCACCAATCTATCAAGCAGAGGGAAAAGTTGCACCAGAGAAACAGAAGGATTTCACGCTTGTTTAGAGATCACGTACCTCCAAACAGGGGTTGAGGAGGCAGCCTGCCAGCTGTGATGGGACAAGCACCAGCTGCAGCAGCACCATGAGCGTCCCCAGAGGAAGAGGTCCTCTCCTGGACATCTTCAGGAGGCCAGGCATGCAGGAGAGAGCAGCATGGGTATCATGCAAGGGCGCGGAGTGAGAAACCTCCTGAAGTGCCAAGCACGGTGTTACACCACTCCTGCTTCTCACTGCACATCACTGAGCATTGCAGAGCACAGAGGGAAGTGAAACTGGTAGCTAACTGGTTTCTAGACATGCTCTGAGTGAATTGCTCTTCTTGCAATTGTTTTTAAAAGATTTAAAAAAAAAACAAGAAAAAAGGAAGTAATGAAAGGTATAGTTTGGACTAGAGATTAAAAAGGACTGTGGGTTTTGTCAGTGTGTCACTTGACTTGATTGCCTCAGATTAGCTCAGGTCAAAATGTGGAGAAAAAGGGAAACTTCTGTGAAATTCCGAGTTGAATTTCTGGAAGGTCATGCTTCACGTCCCTTAATTCAAATGCACTGGATAGAGTGAATGGTTCTCTGCCTTTGTACCTTTGCCATCCTCCCAGCTACATCACACTGGCAAGTACTGGAGAAGCGCCCAGCTGTTGCAGATGTTTTTCTGAGCAAGGTAGCAACAGAATTATCTATGGCCAAGCTCTTATGAACATGCAGCAAGGCTTTATCCATCTGGTGGGACCACAGTATCACAGTTATTGCAGGAACAAGGTGCAGACATTCAGGCACAAGGAGTAAATACTGGAGATTCATGGAGCGGTCAGAGCCCAGGACCTTACACCCCTCCGCACCCTTCCCTTGGGTGGGTGGGTTGCTGGGGCCAGAAATCTGGGAGAGGCACAAACACCCCGGCTGGGCTTAGAGCTGCTATCTGCCCTGGTCATGCCTGAATCTGTGTTTGATGCCTCGCTACAAAAGTGAGTACATCTCAATACCGTCCTTAATTTACAGTGCAGACACGGCTATTGTTTCTGGAGGAGGCTTTGTAAAACCTCACAGTTGGCAATATTAATTTAAATCAGCTGTGGGCCTTCTAATAAAGCTCCCTGCCTTCATTTACTCTGATAAATGGTAGTGCATTCATGTATCTACTCCTGTCTTTCTGTAGATAACTAAGAAGTGTTACTGGGGATCCAGCCATAGGGTTGCTGGGTATTATTAACACCACATAGAGAGAGAAGTTGCAAAAATGCAAGATGAGCATGGGCTACTAGTCTAGAAGTAGATGGAATAGGGAATGACTACTCATGAAAATCTGCGAAAACTGGCATTAAATGTAAGCTGCAATATCAGGCCAGTGAACAATCAACTTAGAAAGAAAAGTTTAAAATACAGTGGGGGAGACTGAACTTCTCTGGCAGATCAGTAGCACCGAGAGATGGGGAAATCCTAAAATAACAGATGATCTCTGCGATGAAAAACACATGGCAGCACAATGGGAGCTAAAACCAACACCCTGATGTGCAGCCAGATAATGCCCATTAAGCCAGCAGACAAAAAGTTTGTTGAAATTGGGCAAGTTCTACAAAATCCCTGTTCTGAAAAGCCTCTCGTGATTGCAGGTATTTCCTTTTACAGATGGAATCAAAAGTGAATGGAAACAATTGCTGACTGCTCCTGTGCCTGGATTAAGGAAATTGGCAGAGCATCATGTGTCTGCAGAGAGGACAAATGAGTGCATCTTTTAGTATTCAATATGCAGAATGAAGCAATCCACATTTAATTTTTATCTAAAGCTGAGATGAGCCTGAAGTATGCTCTGGAAATTACCATTTCAATGGAGACTCACTGAAGATGCTGGAGAGTTTGGGAGCATCACAAAATCCATCCAAGAGCCATGCTTAGGGGTCAAGTGGAAAGTACAGCTTAAAGGACGTTCAAAGAATGCGCTGCTTCTATCACAAGGGACAGTTTCACAATACACATTGCCATTGGTTCAATGACAAATCATATAGAAACTGCAAGGCATGGGGCGCCAGCAGAAAACACACAAGCTAGCAAATCAAACCCAGCCACCAGTTTAGAAAGTCAATGCTGGCTAACTTCATATTCTTCAGCTTGCATACAACAATGTGAAATGACTGTAGAAAGCCATAATGTCTATGTAATTGCCTTCTTCGGCTCACAAGAAACAAAAGTATTATTTGGAATTCTTTAAAGTGACAAGAATAACATCTAAAATGAAACATGATTCACTGTGCTGGCAATTTACTGGTGGGATCATCAAAGATCTCTTAGAAAAGAGGTGTTACAGAAAACCTGTGTTTCTAAAAACACATGCCCAAGTAATATTTGTTCTCCTGAACATTATTATAATATAAGTAACACAACAGCAGACAGCGTGCGCTCAACCTCTGTGATCTCCAGCAAGGCATTACACAGCATAAGACAGCCACAATGTCGTTGGACTGGCAAAGCATCTTGTATTTGCTTATGTTAAAAGAAAACAATCTGCGAACTCCAGCCAAAAAGAAAAGTTAGCTACACTCTTGAACAAAACAACTGGTGATAGTCATGAAAACAGATAGGGCTGTCTGTATCTATGGTGATTTCAAGGTCACAGCTAACCGAGTATCACATGTAGATCAACAGCTATTACTCAGAAGAGAGGATATATTTGCCTCAGTAGTCATCCTGAACAGTTCCCCAAGTCTATCTGAAAATGGAGGCTGAGGAACATGGCAAGAACTATTTCAAGATTAAACAAACCAGGTCTTATTTTATGCGAAAGGACCATCTGTAACAACTATTTGGTTTGTGAGTCATAGATCAGATGGGAGAGAGCATTCCTGAGATGCTGGCACTTACACAACGCAGTATTTGTGGAGCTAGAGATGGGGAGCGCCCTGAGAACATCCAAAAAGTACTTGAGAAGCCCAGACGTGGTCAGGCTATACCAGCTGACCCAGTACTGCTCTCAGATGGGTTGCAGCACTGGCCACATGTGCCTTCCTAACTAGCACAGTATCAGCTAATACAACTCAGCTCAGCAGTCACCTGTGGTGAATTAAGCTTAAATCACATCACATTGCAGCTGGGATCTAGGCTCAGGGCGCGTAGACAGTTACCGAGTCCTCGAGGTTCTGCTGACACATTGCCAGTCCTTATAATCAGCAAGTCAGTCATCTGTCCAAGTTTGAAAGGTTGTCTGAGTGGATAGGAAAAGCAAAAGGAAATGACTCAAAAATTCAACAGTATGTTGAATTCTGCCATTCTGCTGGGAAAAACAATTTATATAAATCACAAGAAAAAACGGAGGGAAAAAAAATCTGGAAATGGCTTTAAGATCTTTTTGCTGCAAATTCCTCAAATACATTGCTTACTGGAAGTGGTGAGTCACCGCCTCACGCAGGAACCCCTGGCTGACCTGGCAGGCCCTGGGTAGCGAGCGCTGACCCACACCAAGGCTGGTGAAGGAGCTGAGAAACTGGTATCATCAGAACAGCCCTCTACTAGCGTGCCTTGATGCCTATAACTCTCACCTGTGATGCTTCCCCATATGAAGTGGGTGTAATAATCTCACACTTGATGGAAGATCAGCCTGGAAGACTTATTGCCTTTGCTTCTGGCTCTCATAGCTTTGAGGAAGAGAACCACGTTCAGATTAGAGAGAGAAACTCTGCATTTAGTTTGGGGTGTTAGACAGCTTCGCTGCTGTCTGCCTGAGCAATGACTGACTCTAGTTATAGATCATTTAACTGCTAGTTTCAAAGCAAGGAGCATCAGTAATGCAGATTGCTTGTCACACCTGTGACTGTAAGTGACAGGTAAGGACATGGAAGTGGAATCTGAGACAGTCTCTACATGCTATTTAGCACAGACCAAGCCCCAGCCCATTGCGAATGGTGCCACCTAAACCAAATGGAATCCAGCACAGCTGAAGTGTTTCCCACTGCAGAAGAGGACAGATACTGGTTTGCACAGGGGAAAGAAACACCCCCCCAAAAAGCTAGTGTCCAAGTTAGTTTGACGAAAAGCAGCCAAGCCTACTTTGAAGTAGATAATGTGTGTCATCAGATGGGCTATTCCCCAAAGCCAAGGTCATATGAATACCCCAGAACTATTCAAAAGCTATTAGGGAAGAACTGTGTCAAGTAACCAGGGACAAATACACAGCTAGAAGAAGTGATTAATCAGTGTCAAGACAGTCACTATCTGTGGCAGCTACTCCATATGGACTATGTCAGGTCAGTTAGAAGCCCTACATTCTACTGAAGTCAATGTTTAATCTAAATGGTTGGAAGGATTTCACACAGATGGTAGAGGCATCCAGACTCGCTTGCCAAGCATTTGTGGACAGGTAGTGAGTGATGGTGGAGCTCCCTTGACCCCTGGAGAGAGGCAGGCTGGCACCAAACAGCCCAGCAGCTCCCTGCCCTTCTGCCTCAGATGAACCACGGTTGCCCCTCGGCTGGCCACGGAGCCGGGGATTCAGTCGCCGTTGATGGAAGGATGTTCACAGTGTCTCGGTGTGAAATGCACTGTGCTTGGGAGGAGTGTAACTGCCTTTCCACAGCCCTGAGAAGGGTGGATTTATCCCCTCAGGCTGGTGCTAGCTTTTGCTACTGAAGCAACAATAAGGTTAATTTTCTCTTTCTTTCCCCCTCCATTACATCCTTATTATGGCATCTGGTAGCCTAATTTACATATGTTTTGTATTACTTCGGCTTTGCCTTATTTTACTTATTCTACCTCCTTTCCCCTAGTTCTCTTGATAATAATGAGTCTGCTGTAGGGCAACGATTTGTTCAGACTATCAAACACGAAAGGTGGGGGGGGCACGGAGGGCTGCAGATCTCGGACTTTTTAAACTGGACACAAGAAAGGTTGAGTTGGGAATTCAGTGCCACCATGAAAGCATGGTTAAATATTAAGCCTCTACCACATCACTCCAACACTCTGGGAAAGTTTGAAGCGAGGCAGCTCTAGTGAATCGTGGTTACCTGGAGAGATTATAGAACCCTGTTTTGAGGGAAAACCAGCCAGCTTTTAAACATAAGAGCAAAACGCTGTGTAGCAGACCTGCTTGCTGCAAGTACTGAGAGCACTGCCACAGGCAGTGACCAATGCTAAGACTCTTGAGCCTCATGTTTATGGTTTCACTTGACACTACATGACAGGAAAATGTTGCAACAACTACAGCAGAAAGCGCAGACACAGCTCCTGCAAGCTGTGGCAGAGTTCTTGTATATGCATTACCTAGAGGGAAAATGTAAACTATCTCCTGGGGTTAGTTCAT